GTTTTTACTATTGTTGTTGGAATACTGCATGGTTGTATCATGCATGCTGGATGGCTGTCAGCTTTCTATGACATTTGAAGTCAGAAGTAACACAGAATTTGAGAGAACTGTTTTTTACATTTCACAAATAACTAAACAATGAATAGTGAAAAACACATATCAGTGTCCTCATGGGGAACTTGTGCAAAAGGGGGGGGGAAGAGATAACATCAAGAGAGAAAATAGTTCCCCACCCCTGTAAATGTAGCTTTCCCATTAGCCTACGCTCCCTGGTGTATGGAGAAATTTAAAGAGTTATTATGCAAACCTTTTCTGCATTCTGTTCATACCGCTGTCTCCCCATTCTTTGGGAGTGCAAATAATCAATCTGTATAACAGGCTGAACATTCCAAAGCTTATATAAGGGATAATGAAAGGAACAAGACTCTTATTCCAACAGGGATTTGAAGGTCATTACATTTCTGCTTCTGCTTTACCTGCCAACCCTCTCTTTTGCAGCAGTGAAAACAGAACCAGAGAACTGAAAGGGACTCAGAGCAACTGGCAAGTGTAGTCACCTCAAATTCTGAGAGTTATGGTTTCCACTGGTGAGTTTTCACTGAAGTTGAAAGCAGTCACAATGATTTCAGAAAAACAGCTTAGAAACTATTATAGGTGTATCCTTTGTAGCACATGAGTGTACATAACTACTGAACTGTACATTCTCTTCATAACCTGGCCCACATGAGAACTAGGTTATAATATAGTTAAGCCTAGCATTTCATCTGAACCTACAGCATGGATTGGGTATGGCTAGTCTAAAGTAAAGAAGAAATAGGGGAGACATGATAGCTGTGTTCAGTATCTGAGGGGCTGCCACAAGGCAGAAGGGGCCAGGTTGTTCACCAAAGCACCAGAGGGAAGGATGAGAAACAATGGTTGGAAACTGATCAAAGAGAGAAGCAACCTGGAACTAATGAGAAACTTCCTGACAATGAGGGCAATCAACCAGTGGAACAGCTTACCCCCAGAAATCGTGGGCACTCCATCACTGGAGATTTTTAAGAAGAGAATGGACATTCACCTGTCTGAGATGATATAGGTTCTCCTGCTTGAGCAGGGGGCTGGACTAGAAGACCTCCAAGACTTCCTTCCAGTTCTATTCTATTCTATTCAAATTTTCTACTTTGAAAACATTGTGGACATTCTACTACCTTACTTCCAGGTATAAATGTACATTTAAAGTTAGATCTTAGATTCTTTCAATTGTAATATGTTATGTCTTTCAATGTAGAATTTATGGACTTTGCCTATTATACCCCTGGAAATCCTTCTTGTTATGTAATGGTTATAAAGTACATCGTGAAAAGATTGTAGTGTCTATAGCAGTGAAATTCACATTTGCTGAAAAATGAGTGACTCTTCCTTCTCAGAGTTGACTGATTAGTAAAAGAAAAGGATAATTCCTCTACGTCATCTAGAACTATAATATGTTTTATATTTTATACAGTGCTTTTTTTGTAAAAAAAAAAAAAAAGTGCCAGAACTCACACACTCATACAACCCGCCTTGCCTACCCTACAAGATTCCATCCAAAAAAGGTACCGGAACTCCATTCTGGGCATTCTATGACAAAAAAAGCCCTGATTTTATTTATTATTTGTATAAATAATGACTCCCCTCTTGTAAAATTAAGTGGTTGTTCTTTGCAGCTTCATTATTTAGTAATGGAGCTACACTATACCCTATGCTATTCCATTGGATTTAGAGCCATTAGCTGGAGCCTCAGTTATGCAAAGAATTCAGTCTCTCAGTTAAGCTTTGGGGCTTAATGAGTTCATACAAACAGCCAAATTAATCTACTCAAGCCTAGTACTTTCCAGAAGTGTTAAATTAGCACTTCTGCTGTTCCCAACCAGTATAGTATAGCTGGAAAAGAATTTATTTTGGAATCAATCAGATGACACCATGATAGAATTCCAGTAGGAGCACAGTTACGTTAACCCATGAAAGAAAAATGCTTCTCCAAAAACATTTTTCTTTGGGAAGAGACAAACTGCTCTCTGGCTCTAGAGAACTGATGTACAAAAAAAAAAAAAAAAAGTCGGGGGGGGGGAGGTAGTTGCCTTTTGTCTCTTAGACAGCAGGAAACTTTGTGAATCATCTTGTTTTTAATCATATGCTAGTCTGCCTGAATAAATCCGAATTGAACTCTCTGGCCTAGACTGAAGGAAGCACTCCAGACTCTTCTATTTTTGCTCACAGAAAAATGGAACAGTGAAAGAAGAGAAAGATAATAGTTCATGTCTACCACGTGGGACACAGCAAAAAAGTGATTCCTAAAAAGCAAGTTAGTTCATGTGAGATTTCACCAAGTGCAACTTTATTTTGTATGAGTCAGAAGCATATATATGGATGGATTTATAAAAAAAAAGCTGTATACCTTTTTAATGTCATTTTTTTTACAAAGTTTCAGAGGCAAAGCAAAAGTCAGTATGAAAGACTGCCTATCTAAGCACAAGGGAGATCAAAAATATATTACTAAAATCCTGAAAAAGCAAGATGGATTTTGCCCTGTACAAAAAATATAATATAATGAGAATGCATATATAGGAAGAACATTTTTGTAATTTAATTGCTGCCTTCACTAACAGTTTTCTCTTGCTAGTTTCCCTTACACTCAGATGGGTCTTAAAATTGCCAAACCCATGAAGATAAATTTTAGTCAAAAACTATTTAGAGTCTGTAGGTTCACTATACTTGGGCTTACTAGTTTTAAAGGTTCTGATTTTAAAGATTGTAACTAGCATAACAAGCATATTGTGTATGCTTCTGATCCTGGCAAAGACTTCAAAAATCAGTTTAAAATGGACACAGAAGGAGAGGCAAATGGTATATATTCAACACTGGAGAGTGTCGATATTTTTCATATGCCACAAGACAGAATAAATTTCTGCAGATCCCTTTGCATTGCTTTTGTTAGGAGGTGTTGCATAACTCTTTAAAATATAGAAACCAACTCTCTATTACATCTTTTACCAAAGATGTTTTGCTGTCCTGACTAGCAATGGATTTTTTTTTCTTTTGGCATCTCAGCATATGTCTCTGCTCTTTAATTTTTTCCCTAGATTTATCATTGCCTCTCCCAAGTGATAGATGTCTCTTTATTTCATAGCAATATTATCACTATCCCTGTCAATTTTCCATCTTAGGAAGATAAACTTCTTCCTAAACTTCTCTGCCTATTTGAATTGAGCTGGTGTTGTCTGTTAACATAATTTTACAGGTTTTTTTAATTGCAGTAGCAGATTAGGTTTTGTTTCTTTTTCACTTTCAACAAGTCTTCCTCATTTCCAGTCATCAAAGTATGATGGGTCATGAGCATAGGTAAGATTGTTGATGTTTCGCACAACATATAATTCCAATTTCTATTTCTTCCAATCAAACATTTCTCATGATATATTTTGCTTATAAATTAAATAAGGTGACAATAAACAATCTTGGTACATTCGTTTCCCAGTTTTGAACTTAGTTGCTCCATATTCTGATCTAATTTTTGTTTCCTGATAATCATATAAACTTCAACAGACAAATGAAGTAGCCTCGAACTTCCATTTTTTTAGGACATTTCACAATTTATCGTGATCAACAAAGTTAAAAGCCTTTGATTAATAAAACAAAAAACAAAAATGGTGTCTTTTTGGAATTCTTTTGTCATTTCCATTACCCATTGGATGTCTTTTGAATTCAGCAAGTACATCTGGCAAATATAGAGTAGAAATACATAAGTAGCAACAGTGTTAAAGATATCAGCAACTGGTCCAACTGACATTTATATTTAAGCTGTAGAACAACATGGAGGTGTCAGACCAATATTGAAGTCTCTGGGAAGTTTCCTTCCTTCCTTCCTTCCTTCCTTCCTTCCTTCCTTCCTTCCTTCCTTCCTTCCTTCCTTCCTTCCTTCCTTCCTCCCTCCCTCCCTCCCTCCCTCCCTTCCTTCCTTCCATTTCACACAATTGTAGACACTGAGTATTTGAGTAATAATAGTAATAATATACCAACGTAAGAATATATATGTACTAGAATACATATTAACTTATGCAATAATAAGCAAAACATATCAATTACTAATGAGCAAACCTATGTGCTGTAGAGATGAAATGGTAAGAAATTTAAAACAAATATTGAGACTTATTTAAAGTAAGTATATGATCTTCCAAATTACTATTCTGTTAGCATGATTGCATTATTGACCTCATTTGCACAGCATGCCAAGCACAAAGCCATAAATCAGGAATGGCTAACTTTTCAATGGCCAAGGATCATGCTTAATACTTTTGGAACAACTGATGGTTTGTAAATTCTCTTTATGAAAAGTATGAGGTTCTTTTTTTTTTTAAACCACTTATAGGATTTGCTTATCAGTTAATGTCCATGAATGTCTTACTTCCAAATAGCAGATAATTCTGCTGCAAGTTTTTAGCAATTATGGTTAGAGTGGCTTCCAGGAAAATAGAGAGTTGGGGCTCTGTTGTCCATATTTCTGCCATTAGTCATAGTTTACAAATGACAATAGATGGGCCATACAATGTACTAAGCCAGAACTAAATCTAATTGTCTCTTAGCATGAGGCTAGCCACTGTATATTAGGGATAACTGCAATTCCTTGTCTTTTCTGAAGTTGTGTAATCAAATTTCTGCAATGGGAGATTGTCTTCCATAGCTAATACATTTCTGACTGTCTGTTGTTATTTTTAACATGGGTTTATGTAGACTCTTTTCAGAGTGTGTCCCTGGATCACAGGGCACATCTGCTTCATTTTTTGAAATGGGGCCAGATTTCTGAGCTTTCTGAAGGATGACAACAGCATATAGTTTTAAATACATGTCTAGTTACTATAAGTGCATCCACAAGCATGTACAGAGAGACTGCTTTCTATTTTTGCCCACAATCTTTGACACTCCTTGACTCAAGAGCATATTTACAACCACTCCTAGTAGGAACATGTCATTGCACATACCTATTGATGGGGAATTGAAGGCTGGGTAGGAGGAATATTTGTTTGCAGAGAAATTGACCCACTTTTATTTTTCTCCTGCATATTCTCACAAAGAAGTGAATCATAGAACTGGAAGAGACAAAACACCTCAGTTACATCAGCTCAAAGAATATGAATTGTGAGCCAGCACATCCTCTCTGCTTGAATATCAATTTATCAAACAAACTTAGGCAAACCAATGAAACAAACAACCCATCTCAGCACTGATAAGAATAAGATAAAGAACAGTCACCACAATTATTTATAATCTGCCTTTTATCTAAGGTGATTTACAATCAACATCAAAACCAAGGAGAAAAATGCTATTTTTTTTTTTTAAAAAAACAAGAATAGTGAAATTGATAATAAAGACATGAAAGGAGCATCTGGAACAGGTTTTAGGGTTGCTGACCTCTATCTCCCTCCTTTTTCTCTTCAGAGAGTTTTATCATTAGGCAAATGATATAATAGCCACAGAATACAAAAAGGAGGATTTAGTCAAGCAGACTTCTAAGGTGGTTTTCTTACCTTGTTTTTTTTCTTCTTCTGGGATCATTCCTTTGAGGTATTGTTTTGGGAAAGGGATAAAAATCCAATGGCCAAAACTATTGTAATAATCTTTTAATTATAAGCTGGAACCATGAGCTGAAGTGGTTTGGCCAGCCAAGAGCCACCCTTAACACTTCTGAGGGGAAACTAACATCCACAAAGTGGTTAGAACCACTTCTTAATTATGTACTGAGCTAAGAATTGAGAATGTGATAGCTTGTTCAGGTCTTGCACTACAATTTTCATGTGTATTACATCTCAACATGAAAAGAAACCATAATTCTTTCTGTTTTAGCAACCATAGACAAAGAATGACCTGAAGATGCCCTCTTCGTTATCTGGCAGAGATCCTAGAAAGCAATTGTTGAATAGGCAGAAATTCAATTGATGAAGCTGCACTGTCACTCTATTATTGCTCCGGGCAGTAATTTATAGAATTCATTTAAACAGGAATTTATCCCCTGAATTTCTATTTGTCATGTGGCAGTGGAAATCACATTAGATGGAAAGGAGGAAATAATTCTGTGACTGGCCTTTTAGAGTTCTTGCATGGATCTGCGTAAAAATTTCAGGGAGAAACACATTTTTCTTCTATCTCCTGTTAAATTATAATAATTCTTGACTGAATAATTTTATTTTCAATTGTCTTATTAAATATATGACTGATAATAAATACTCCTGAAAGCTGGACAGTACATTGCATAATGAAGAATCATAACTATGCAACCAGTTATATCTTAGTTGTTATTCTCTCAGTACCAGATAGTTGCTTTGGCACAATTTTATCTATAATCATCCTTTCCTTTTGAGTGCAGTCTTTTTGCCATGCTTTGAACTTCTAAAGCTTTGTTTCACAGCAGCAACATTTCACCCTCAGCTTGGAACCAGCTACTGCTGAGGTGTTTCTTACAAAGACTGATATTCAGATGCATTAGGAACTGGAACTGAGAAAGACACAGATATATATTTCATTGCACATCACTAGGAAATCTTGATTTTTTTTAAAAAAAAAAAAATCCAGCAATTGAAGTTGGACCTATGAACCCTTTGCTCTATTTCTTCCCAAGCTCTTGGCAGAGGTAGATTTCACCATCTCCAGTAGCAGTCTGCTTTCCTTAGTTATCAGCTCAAGACATGAGGATAAAGATCAATAAAGGAAACATGGGAGGACAGGAAATGATCTCAAAGTGTGCTCCTAAAATTTTGAATATTGTTTGTTGATCTTTCCAAAGCACTCACTGTGTTGAAATATATACAATTATGTGACTGTGTCATACAAGTGAACAGAATTTAGCATTCAATTCAAGACAATGTAAAACAAACACACAGCAACAGATTCATAACTTGCACCAACAAGAAAGGGTTTGTTTGGTAATGTTTAGTTGAATAAGATGTAACTAGCTGGGTTTAATCCATACATAAATGTTTATAAATCTCAATGGCTGGGTTCACGTATTGGAATTAGCTAAAACCAAACCAGCCTTATTTATACCTTGTATCTCCACTGAGATGTGCATACAACAGCTGAGCTATTTCTATGTAATCGTATCTAGTAAGTGATATATTCTACATTCACAAACACTTAGCTCTGTGAGATCGAATTTGAATCAGTCACCGGGACCAGAAATTTACTCTTCCAAGCTTTCGGACTCCATCTTCAGGAAATTTCTCTCTACTGGAATAAGTGCTTTCGGTTGTTCTGTGAGTCATGCTTATGTAGTGCCTTCCTATTGGCTGACTGTGTGTTGATGGCTGGCGATTGGCTGTTGTTTCCTTGTGCTGCCAAGCCCTCAGCTCCTAAATATTTGCCAAGCTGGTGGTAAATCAGCACTCCTGTTAACTGACAAGGGGCCCGTGTCCCAGGTTTCAATCATTTCCTTGGCTATCTTTGTACCTGCATGGCAAATGATCTTAGTTGCTATGAAATTAAATTTGTGTCCTTGTTCATTGCAATATGAGGTTACCAATAAGTTGGAGTCTCCTTATCTGACCACTCACTTGTGTTCTTGCAGCCTGGTGGTTAGCTTCCTCTCCATTTGTCCTACATAGTCACAGATTACATTGGAAGTATGTCCTACCTCCAAATGATCTTTACAATGCATAATTTATCCTTGTATAGTAGCCTCTGGGCAGTGTGTGATGCCCACTTGAAAATCTCGGCAGCTGCATCTACTACTTCTGAAATGTTTTTGATGTATGGCAGGGTATGCCATATAGTTGGTCTTTTACCTTCTTTTTTCTTTTCTCTCTTTTGTAGCCTCACATTGCAATGAACAAGAATACACATTTAATTTCGCAGCAACTAAGATTATTGATTATGTAGGTGCAAAGATAACCAGGGAAATAATTGAAGCCTGGGAAATGGGCCTCTTGTCAGTTATCACCAGCTTATCAAATATTTAGGAGCCGGGGGCTTGGCAGAACAAGGAAAGGACAGCCAATCGCCAATCATCAACACACCAATCAGCCAATAGGAAGGCACCACATAAGCAGGACTTTACGAAAGTGTGGAAGAGTAAATCTTTGGTCCCAATGACTGACTCAAATTCAGTCTCACATCACTATCGAGGGACATCGTAGCCTTCACACTTAGCTATATTGAAAAGAGAAAAAAAGATTCCTCAAAACACACTGCATCTTTACAAATTAAGTAAAACTAGTCTTTCATATATGTTAATTACATTATGATATAGAAAATATTTATTTATTTTAAAAGCTCTGCCTTCATTCTTCTTATCAGTATGGCTACTAAAAACCAAAGTGTACTGGCCTTGTCTTGACTTCAAAAGCTAAAGAGGATCTCATCTAATTAGTATATGAGTGGGAAGTATAAGACTGAGAAGTTGAAATATGTAATAGAATACGCAGTGGCAAATCACTTTGATACTGCCTAGTACAGTAAGACAGGGACATCTCCATGAAGTCACCAGAAGCTGAATTTGATTTAGTGGAGACGTTTCATTAAATATGCCACTCAAATCTTAATTATTGTTGCCATCCAAAGGTGCCATCCAAAGCATTCCACATTGAGTAAAGTGGCTGCATTGGCAAATAATGCAACTTATAATAATGACTTATAGCGTTAGCTGATTTTTTAGAGATTGCATAGCACACTGAACCAAAAATTTGCCATATAGTTTGTGTGTCTGTGATTTGTGGTTCTGTGACTCAGGAATGCAAATTGAGCCAACAAGGCATTTGAGTCAATACCCCTAGAACTGTACTGACTTGCATGAAAAACAGGGTATTTCAATTATTACAAAAACTGGCTGCCAGATTTTTAACTGGCTTAGTCACAGGTGGAGTCATACTTCTTTATACTGGCTGCAGATTTGCTTCCAAGCTCAAGTTCAGGCATTTGCACTACATTTAAAATGCAGATGATCCAATGTTTGCTTGTGGTTTTGCCTCAATACATTCTTGTGTTTGGAAGAGTTGGAAGAAATTCTAAGAAAGTGGCCATCAAATCTTCATTCCCTTTTATTGTCTCAACCATTGTTCCCAAGCTGAGAAGATTAATTAAATATTTAAACCCCAAGACAACTTTAGCATCTGACTATTGACCTATTTTTAGGATGGGTCAACATTGCTTCAGATAAAGATTTAGTATCTATTTCTATGTGGATTGGGCAGCTGAAACTAACTCAGCAGCATTGTTTAGTATTTTTACTATGAATGAATGCTAGAGTATAAAAAAACCCTAATCTCTCACATTTATTAATAGCAGCCATCTGAAGGATATATGTTTTCCAGAAAATTGTAGTAAGAAACAAATACTTTGGTCAAGAGTTAGTGCCCTTCCCCGTACAATTTTATTTTATTTTTTTATTTTATTTTATTCCCTGCTTTTGTAGTTTTCACATATTTTATCATTTTTCTCTGTTTTATTGTTATAAACTGCCCAGAATAGCCTTAGATTGAGATGGGTGGCAAATAAATTTAACAAATGAATAAATAATAAATAACTTTCTTACACCTTTGTCTTTGCCTAATCCTGGTTCTTCTGTCCTGGTTCTTCTGTCCTGTAAATGTTTCAACTAATCCTTTAAATACAATCATATTTTCTTCATTGTTGTACTTTTATATTAGAGAAATTCTGTGCCCACTGCATTTCTGTAGCAACAGTTAACATACAGGTGTACTAGTTTCATATAAGAAAGGGGTGTGACTCAAGATGTTCATAATTCACTCTTAATCAATCAGATTAATCTTATTTATTGACAAGAAGAAAGCCAGTTTTGGTTTAGTGGTTAAGGTATGAGGCTAGAAACCAGGAGATTTATGAATCTAGTCCCTTCTGGGGCATGAAGCTAATGGGGTGAGCTTGGGCTAGCTAGTCAGTCATTGTCAGCCCTAGGAAGCAAGCAGTGGCAAACTACTGAAATTTTGCCAAGAAAACTGCATGGACTAATCCAGGTAGTCATCAGGAGAACATTGACTCAAAGGTGTGAACCCCCCCCCCTATTTCAGATGGGATTGAAGAGTAGAGGAAGATCCAGTTGGTTATTCAATAATACATTTTTCTGAAAGCAGTATGCTCAATATTAACTTTTTCTCTTGGACATAAGTTCACACAAGGTTCTATAAAGTATAGCCTAGGCTCAGGAATTCTGGGAGTTGAAGTCCATGAGTCATAAAAGAGCCGAGGTTGCCTACCCCTGGCCTAGGTGCTATTGAGTTAAACAAGTCATTAGCTCCCAAGGTACTTTCTTCAGGCTGGACTTAAAGCCATCATTTCATTTTTCCTCCTGTGTTTCAAATAGGTATTTAACCCATAGCTTTCTCTGGAACAAAGCTCACAGCTGGCATGATTTGCTAGCTGAGAAGGATACAGAAATATCGTCATGGAATATCTATTGCAGTGTTTTGGGAAGGTGAGATCCACACATCTTAAAGCTGCTGAGATTGAGAAAGTGATCTAGAAACCTTGAATGAGTTCAAATATGCAGGTTCAGGAATTTGATAACAGTCTGGCACAGCCTTTATATATTGTTTGAGCAATCCTGCAAAACAGTTGAACTGAAGGAAGTGAAATCCACAAAAAAAAAGAAAGAAAGAAAAAAGGAGAAAGAATGATTCAGAAATCTATAGATGAGCCAGGTGGACATTGGCACTTGGAAAGATTCTAGAGATGATTATAAAGTGATGAACTATTGATCACTTTGAAAATAATGGCATAATTAATACAAGTCAGCCATAGGTTTGTCAAGAATAATTCCTGTAAGACTGATTTTATTTCATTTTTTTTTGAATGGACAGTTTCCTCAAGAGATTAGGGGACTACTGAAGCATAATATATGCCATGTTTGTGAAGTGAAGGGTCAGGAACTAGAAAAGATTGTTTTTCCAGCACGAGTCTTGTAGTCCCTTCAGAAGCTAAAGTGTTCCTACTTAGTGGTAGCCTTCCAGAATGCAGTAAAAACTGTAGTCTTTAGGAAGATCTTTGAGGAGTGGATTTAATTTGTTAATTAATTGACATTTTTAATATACAGTATTTTATTTTTATTTGCTGGTACTGTGTTATTGTAAGCTTCTATCAGTTGATTATGTCATGGTACATGTAAGTCTAACAATCTTGACTTCAACAAAATATTCAACAAAATATGGCATTCTGATTAATAAACTATAATCTTATGGGCTGGGTGGCATATTCTCAGAGATATATTTTGGATTTAAAAGGAGGAAAATATTTCAAAGTGCCTACAGTTATATGTGTAACAGCAGTCAGCAACTTCTTCCACAAAATACATTTTCCCTGGATTATGCTGGATATTTACCTGAAAATGATACACCTGGTTTAACAAGTATGTAGTGCTTACTGTGAGAGGAGAAATTTTATGCAAGGTTTGGGCCTAGGTGGCAAAGTATTGAACCAAAGTTTGTGCTGTAGCCAATTTCACAATTCAAAGGAAATATTTGCAATCTAAGCTGTAACTATCTTTTATTCAATATGCCTTTGCAGTGTTGCCTGTTTTATGTGCAGTGCTTTTTTTGTAAAAAAAAAAAAAAAAAAAAGGTGCTGGAACTCAGGCACAGCTCCAGTGGACTGGCAGAAACTTCTAGCATGCAGCATCTGGCTCCAGTCAAAAGCCCTTTACGGGGGGGGGGGGACTGCTTTAGGGAGTTCCAAGGTGCAGATCACATGAGGAACATCAGCTGACGGACACCATTGCTGCGGCTTTTGAGAGGGCTCTTGTTCGGAGCTGGGATGTCTTCTGCCGCCTTGTCCTCCTCCACATCTGATGACACAGAGGCTTCCTCCAGAACCAGAGTGACCAAGGTGGTGGCAGCGCTGCTGCTTTGGGAGCGCCCCTGGTCCCTCGAAGAGATTTGCTCCAGGAGCCAGTCCTGGGCCCTGGCATCCAACACGGGAGTCAGGACAGGTGGTGGCAGCGGGGGGAACCCCGTGAACCAAGGCAGAGAAGAGGGTCTGCTTTCAGAGCCGTGGAAGTATGTCTGCGTCTACCTTTGTTGCCCCTGATTCCCTGGGCAGCTTCCTTTCACCGAACCAGAGCTTGACTCGCACTGGTAGCTTAGAAGGAGCTGGTTCTTCCCTTCAAAAAAAGGTGCCAGAACATTGTTCCAGTGCGTTCTATGACAAAAAAGCATTGTTTATGTGTATAGTTAGAATATACATGGTGAATTTGTGGG